CCAAATGAGGAGACACAATACAAACAATGTCTCAGAATTAGATGGAGATAGGATGCCCTTATCATGGGTGAGGCAGAGCCTATCTGTGAAGTTCTTATCTATGGGGAAAAAAACCCAAGAAGTTCAAACCCAGGAAGTCAGCATGATCATATAAAATACCACAGGAGAAATGCCTTAAAGTGAATAGTAGGCTAGTATTGATTACTGTTATTATTACCGGGACAAAAAACCTGACAGAGGTAACTTACTAGAGGACGAATTAATTCAGGATTATGGTTTTAGGCCATCTTGGAAGAGAAGGCAGAGTATTGGGAACATGAGATGGCTCATCAGAGGACACAGGACCCAAGTATAACCCCCCAGGCCTGCACTTAGTGCTACATCTCCCAGATAAGCCTAACTTCCCAGAGGCCCACAACCTTCTAAAACAACACCATCAGCCGGGAGCCGGGTGTCCAGACATGTGAGCCTGTAGTGGACATTTTACTAGGTAAACATAGGACAGGATACTAGGTAAACAGTTCAGTTTGCAATAGTGTCAAAAAAACAATTCTCGGAAATTCAGGGTGGGTGAGATGGCTGAGAGGATAAAGGTGCTTGCCACACTAGCCTTATGACCTAAGTTCAATCCCTGGAGCCTACACAATGGTCGAAAAAGAACTGACTCTATAAAGTTGATCCGTGAATTCTCCACATGTGCACTCTGGCACACACATGCTCTCTCTCTCTCTCTCTCTCTCTCTCTCTCTCTCTCTCTCTCTCTCTCTCTCTCTCTCTCTCTCTCTCTCTCTCTCTCTCTCACACACACACACACACACACCAGACACATACACACATACACAATAGCAGTTTTTAAAATATATTCAGGAACTCATTTCATAAAAGAAACACAAAGTCTGCATTCAGAAAATTACCAAGCTGTTGAAGGATATGAAAGCTCCAAATGAACAGGAAGACATCATATGTTTATGGATTGAACAACGTAACCCTGGAGTGGTGGAAACACTCCCATATCCATCCATAGATGCAACACAGTTCCCAGTGAAATCTCAGCTGTTTTCTTTGCAGGGCTGGACAAGCTGATCCTAAAGCTCACTTGGAAATTCACTGAGGCTTAGAATAACCATAGTTGGAGGACTCACACTTCCTGATTTCAAAGCTTACTTCCAAGTTACAGTAATCAAGACAGTGTGGAATTGGCATAAGAGCAAACATGGAGATTAATTGAGTCAAATTGAGAATCCAGAAAGACATCTTCACACTGACAGTCAATTCATCTTTGGAAAGGGTGCCAAAATATAATTCATGGGGAAGTAATAGTCTCTTCAATGAAGCAGTGCTGGGACAACATGCAGAAGGACAGAGTTGGATCTGTACATCACTCCATATGTAAAAATACCCAAAACTGAATAAAATTTCCAAATTTAAAAGCTAAAACTAGAAAGCCATTAGAAGAAAACATGGGGGTAAATGCTTTGTGATCTCAGATCGGATAATGGTTTCTTAGATGTGACTCCCAAACACAGAAACAACAAAATTTAAAAAAAATAGACAAAGGACTTTACTAAAAAGTAAAACTTTGTGCTTTCAAAAAATATCACCAAAATGTGAGGGTGGGGGGTGGAAAGAGAACCACTAAATGGGAAGATAGAAATGCAAGTCAGACATCTACTAAGGGATATATATGCAGTATATATAAAGAACTCAGACAACTCAATAATAAAATGACAGTCCCACTAAAAAGTAGTGAAGATTTGTAATACACATTTCTTCAAGAAAAAAACCTACAAGCAGTCAACAAGAATGTAGAAAGGGGCTTAATATCATGTACCTCCAGGAAAACACAAGCTGGAACTAGTTTCTCACCCCTTGATACCAAGTGGCACAGATATAATCAATAAGTCAAATAGCAATAGCAGGAAAAGATCTAGAAACCAAGAATCTTACTATACTCCTAGTCAAAGTGGAAATTTTTAGAAAGACAGTTCCTCATACCACACAACGGAGTTACCATGTGACACAGCAACCCTAGTTTTAGGTATATACTCATAAGAAATGAATCACAAGTCCACACGAAGTATGTACACAACTGCTCACAGCAACACTATTCCAAAGAGTAGGACGAGACAAAATGTCCATCAGTGGATGAGTAGATAAACATATGAAATATCCTGCCATGGACTATTACTCAGCCATAACAAGAAACAGAGCACTGACTTATCACCATATGAATGAACTATGGAAACATTATGCTAAGTGGGAGATGCCAGTTACAAATGCACATGTAACTTATGGTTCCATTCTTACGAAACACTCAGAATTCAGAACTCCAAGCTAAGATAAGCAAAAATAAAAATGAGTGGTTGCCTAGTGCTAGGACAAACGGGAGACTGTCGGATCGTGGCTGAAGAGCATAGCATCTCCTCTTGCCTAATGATTTGTTTATTGGGATGGTAAGATAGTACAGAATGAGCTTAAGACCACTGCATGTCAACTTGCGGTGGGTAAATAATATAGTCTATGAACTGTATCCTATCATTACAACTGTTTAAAGAGAACAAAGGAAGAAATAGCTGTGTTGACCAACACACGAAATAGACTTTTTGACTTGCTGTTCTAGAATCATGGAAGACCCCATAGACACAGTCATCATGGTGTATGTGTGTGTGGAGACCTCCTCTGAAAGAGAGTAAAAAAGGTCAGGGCCAGTTTCCTGACACTTTGTGGAAAGCACTGAAAACCACCGAGCTTGGGAATGTATGGCATTTGGAGAGTGCTAATCCCAGACCTCACGTGACCTTTCCGTGTATTACAGGATCCACCTGGAATCCATGTCAAGAAGCACTTGAACAAGACTGCCTGAGCTCCCTCAGAAAGAATGCCTTACCCACTAAGATGACCCACGGGGATAGAGAGTATCAAGAATTTGTCCATCAACTATAGTTCAGTTCATCCTATCTCAAATGATAGGAAATTCACCGCATGAGGAGAAAGGACTGGCCAACAGCCTAGAGCCCAGGGTGGATGGAGGGCAACTTGGACTAGCCCCTGCACACATAGCTCTTCATCCCTGTTCCTCATCACATCTTCCTGACATATGGGATTTATAGGGCCGGGACTGGCATCCAGGTAGGGTGACCCAAGAGAAAGTATCTGATCATGAGGTGGCTCTGACCAGCTCACTACCCTCTCCATTCTAGCCTCCCTCATCAAAACCCACAGTTCTGGGAGAGAGAGGAATGGTTGTCCTTGTTGAATGGATAATGAGGCTGAAGTTCAGAGAGCTGAATCTCAGAACCTCTCTGGCACCCTAGGGGTGCAGCAAGCAGGTCTTTCAGCGCACAGACAAGGCCAAGCAGCAGAGGAGTCAGGGCTGCAGGGGCAGCCAGCAGAGAGCCAGAAGACTCTTCAGCCTGCCACGGGGTTCTCCAGAGGTCCCACGGATATGAGGCACAATTGTCAGACGATTCTGAACCCACGATTGACCCTTCCTTCCTGATCTACCTCCCCTACTCTCTCTCCATCCACTTCCTCCTTTCTACCCTCTACTGTCTAGCTTTCTGGGTCACCATGTGCAGAGAGCACATGTGCCTCATGTAGGTGGCGCCGCTGAAGGGAGAGTCCTTCCTCCTCTTGCTGTCTGGCTCCTTCGCTCAAGTCCTTGAACCACACTGACCACATCTAAGTCACTTTCTTGTGTACAGGCAGCAACATCCTGCTTGAAGAGCTGTTCCTTCTGCCCCTTAACCATTTTTGCAGGCTTCTGCTCATTTCCACAAGTAAATCGTGTATCACCTATCCCTTCTGGGAACCTGCCAACACCCTTCACAACCAATAACTATCACCTGCTGCAGGCGGCACTGGGTGACCGCTGGTGGCAGCCTGGCCGCTGCGTACTGTTTCCCTTTACCATAACGAAATATCCCCGAGAGCAAAAGCTGTGAACTTGTGTCTCTATAACTCCAGAATGTAGCAGAACCCTGGCCCACTGGCCCATGCTTAAGAAACACTCGAGGATAAAATAAGCTTTCTCACTACTTCTATCAGCCTTTGAGGGAACTCTCCACTGTCCTTTCCACACACATTCCTCCCCTGGCAGGATGTGAGCAAAATTTAGGTTCTAATGGTCAGGGCTTCCCCTTTGCAGAGTCACCAGCCAATCTGGCTCAGCTGGAAGATGAAAATGAACCTCTTTCTGCCAAGCACTGCCCTCTCAGTAGACCTCCTGCAGAAGACAGAAGCAGGGGGGAGCCAAAAAAAAGCATCAGCCTTCCAACCTGCTGCAGCACCCAAGAAGCAGCACTCAGCACTCCCCACCCCCAAACAAACCCTGTGTGCAAAGTACCAGATGGGTCCCCAGGGAAGGCCAGGTTGCTAGAGGAGGGTACTTCTGTGACTCGTGATACTTAGAAAGTTCTGGGGTGGACAGGGGTCAGACAAGGTGCAACCATCTCCATCTAGACCCAAGAGCTTTAGAAAGCCCAGCTTCCTCACACCAGGGTCTGCTGGAAGCAGGACATTTGTCTTCAGGAGAACAGGCTCAAGTAGGGGAAGTCTGTCTACCTGGGCCCTGACTGTGGGACTCAAGTTCTAGACAAGAAGTAGAACAGTCAATCGGAAGATCAGCTGGTTATAATGGAGGGCTGACTCTGTCTGCCGAGGTTTCCTGGGCGTTTTGAAAGCATTAAATTATTTACTTCCCACAATAACCCTGGGGTGGCACGCTGGAGCCGGCTCCTAATGGCTCACAGGAGCCAGTTGTTCAGTTTTCAGAAGTTTTATAAGCTGGGTGTTAAATACAGCTATTATGTAAAAATTAGATTATATAAACCCACAATTAAATAAATTATACTAAAAACAAAAGCAATAAATACTCAGAACTCCCGGCTTTCACATTCTTTCTCTGTGTCTCAGTGTTACCCTAACTTTGAGGTTGTCCCTGTCAACAGCATCTGTCTGGTGGAAACACTACACAGTGGTGGCCACCAAGCGTCTCTTACCAAGTCTGTCTCTGTCTTTGGTGACGTCACTGTGGACGCAGCTGAAGGCTGAGAGTCTGGACTTGATTTCCTCACCGTGGTTAATTTTTCTAGATAGAAAAAAATGGGGGAAATATTTATCATTACATGTGGTGTTCCTCAGGAGTCATCTGCCTCGCTTTTTGAGGCAGGGTCTCTCCCTGAACCTGGAGCTGGCTTAGTAGGCTCTGACATCTGGTCAGTAAATCCCAGGAACCCTTCATTTTTCCACCTCCCCAGAACTGGGACACAAGTATGTCCACAACATCTGGCTCTTTTTGGTGGGTTCTGGGGATCAAATTCACACCCTGGTATTTGCATGGCCAAGCACTTTGCTGACTGATCTGTCTATTGGCCCAGACTCATCTTTGACCTTTCAAACTGGACTTAATACTTGCCATCCACAGGGAGTTCCAGGCTTTCAGGGTTGATTTGGGGGCTGCTGAGGTGACCCACTTCCTCGGTCAGAAAGCTGATTCTCTGCCTCTCACTGTGTAGACCAGCATTGTTGGATTACTGAGACCCCATCGTGAAAGCCAATTTAATACCGCCCACTCTGTGTGTGTGTGTGTGTGTGTGTGTGTGTGTGTGTGTGTGTGTGTTCCTCTCAATAACCCTGGGTAATGTATCTTAAGTGGTATTAGAAACTCCTACATCCCCTAATACCTCTCCACCCACTAGTTAACAAAATAGCTTTCAATGATCCTATCTGAGGACTGCTGAATTCAAACCCAGGGTCCCCACACGCCAGCCATACAAACTTGGGCTAATTCTCCCCTCTGGAGCTCAGCCTCCTCCTGTCAAGTAGGGTTGGAGCTGGACTTGCTGAAAGCATGCTGCAAGAGCCTGCCGGTTAACACTCGACAGCCTCTGAACATAGTAGGTGCTCCAAGTGGGTGTTTTCTATTGTTACCACCTGCTTGCTGTGCGAGGTTCCCGCCCAGGTGTTCACACAGGTGTTAATTCACTTAATCTCTCCACAATCCTGTGAGAGTGGTACTGCTATTAACCCCATTTACAGAGTCACAGAGAGGCGATTAGGGTGGAACATACGAAATTGCTAGCTTTGTAGGTCAAACGTAGTTGTGGATCAGCAGTTGCCTGTGACTCACAGCTAGAAGGATTGCAGGTCTCAAAGTCTTGCAACCTGCCTGAGCTGTGTGCAGCCTGAGCATTTATTGGAGTCCCTACCTGACACTAGAGAGGTCATGTCTCTCTTCCAAACAGCACTCAAGGTAGTGCTGCAGGCCTGTTTATGCAACCAGAGCTCTGCTTGTGTAGAAGCTGAACATTAGGGCTATTTAATATGCCTTTTCCCCAAACTTTCATATTAGTCTTCAGTGAATGATATAAATATCACCTCCTCTATGACTCTGCCTGACTTCTCCAGCCCAAGGAACAGACCTATGCAAAGACTCAGAGGGACAGGGACCTGATTACCCAGGGAACAGTGGCAAGCTTCCCAAGGTTAGTGCTAAGGTTGGAAAGGACTTGAGCATGAAGAATGAGACCCCAGAGGCCGTGAGGAGGTTGGCTCCACTTTCACCATAACAGTGAGCCTCTGGGTTCTCTTCATCCAGTCAAGTTGACAGCTACACTAACCATCACAGAAGCTGACATAGATGAGGTGGTGTCTTATTTGTTTTCTACTGTTGCGATAAAATGCCATGACCAAAAGCAACTTGGAGAGGAAAATGTTTAGTTCATCAAAGAGCTTTGTAGTCCATAATCTAGGGAAGTCAGGGCAGGCAGGAACTGATACAGTGGCCACGGAGCTGCATTGCTTACTGACTTGCTCCTCAGCCTGCTTTCTCAACCTAGGGCCACCAGCCTAGGAGCAGTACTGCCCACAGTGGGCTGGGCCCTCACACATCAATCATTTTCACACCATAGGCTTTCCCACAGGCCAATCCAGCGAAGGCATTTTCTTAATTGGGGTTACCTCTTCCAAAATGACTCTAGCTTGTGTCAAGTTGATCTAAAACTAGCCAGTTCAGGTGGGCTGGGCAGGTGGAAATGTGGAGAGGACCGGAGGAGGCCCCACAACATGGGTGTGTGGGAACTTCAAGACAGTCTGCTACCTCTGCCCATCTGTAGTCTAGTGCTTAGGAGATGGCTTGAGCCACTCCCAGCATGGTGGGCAAGACCAGGAATCAGAACAAACTCAGTGCTGGGGCTTTCTGGGAACCTCTGCAGCTCCGTGTTGCCATGGCCTATGGAGAACGATAAACTCTTCTGTGTTCCCACCTTCAACATCCACTTCACACCTATTCCAGCTCAGAGAAGAGGGTTCTGGGAATACGTGTCATCTTTGGCCTACAGTCCTACATTGTGGATGGTGGTTCCAAAGCTAGGGACACTTAGGGGACCCAGGAAGGAATGGCTTCTCCCCTTGGCTGAAATGCTCTGTGTGGAAGGGAACCCATTCTTCACAACCCTTTCTCCCGTCAGCCTCCAATCTCATTCCCGTCTTCCCCAAATATGCATCTCCCTTCTTGACAGAAACTTTCATATATACTGTTCTCTGGGCAGAAATATCCTTCTGTGCACCTTCCATTCCCCTGGTACGGGCCCTCCTGGTTATCTGTTGTCTGCTCCCCACCTCCTGCCTAGCCTGTCAAGTCCATTCCACTTTCTATACCACCTGACAACTCAGAGAAACCCGATAGCATCCTCCTGGGGCCAGACCTGGCCTTGGGCCTCAGTTTAAAGTGATTAATACCAAGCATTGTTATGGGGACTTACTGGGGCCAGGGAAGGCTCCTCTCTAAACTCGCCCAATTCAAACCTGAGAGAGTAGCATCCTTCTGACTAGACAAGACAGGCCACAGGGCAATCACAACTTAGAGGACAAAACCCAGGAAATTAGATACTGTTTGGAAAAGAGGGTACTGGGTACAGAGACCTTCCCCCTTCTTGTCAGCGCATATCACAGACTGCTTGGTCTTCCCGTGTCATTCAGAACAGACATTGCCAACTAAGCACAGCAATGTTTCCCAGAGAGCTTAGACCCAGCTCTTAGAGTCTGTGACCATTCTATGGAATCATCAACCCCTAACAAGGGTTCTAGAGGATATTAATTCTTGGACAGAGTGTATCTGAAATCAGGAATACAGGAATAAGGCTTTAACTAGTGGGGTCTGTGCACAGTTAGCATCAGGGACCTGATACTAGAAAGTTCCAAATGTACCCGCATCACTGCTGTCCAATATATCTATGAAGGGGACTCCAAGGACAGTGCAGAGTCCTCAACATAGACCAGAGCAAGGGTTAGCCACAGTGGCCAAATCCAACCCACTACAATTTTGTAAATAAAGTTTTATCAAAACACGGCCACACTTTGACAGCTATGGCTGCTTTCAAATTTAAAATTGCAGAGTGAAGAGGTTGCAAAAGAGATGGTATGTCCCTCCCAAACCTAGATAATTGTTCTTTAATGACCCCAATTCAGAAGACCAGGTGGTATCAAGGCAGTGAGTGGTATAACCTCCCGTTCCCTTTAAAAGTCACCTGTGTTGCTTGAAGGCTCAGCTGAGGCCCTACTATTTTTATGCCGGTGTGTTTGTATATTATGAGACGTGGTTTTAAAACTATTGACCCTGCAGTTAAGGAAAGGCATCAGGAAGATGCTCACACTTTAAAGATGCCCCAAATCTGGGTCAAACCGGTTCAGGAAGAACCACTTACAGCGACAGGTTCTGCTTGGTTGGTGAGCAGGAATAAGTTCTCATACCCCTTAAAGCTTAATTTCAGGCTGGAGTGTGCCTGGGGCTGAGTGGCTAGAGGTGGGCACATGCATCGGCAGCTGCATGCTGCAGTAAGAACGGCATGCAAATGGTGGGAGCACCCACGCAGCAAGCTCAAGCACCAATAAGACAGGCACACTGTTGTGTGCAAGCATGCACCGTGGGCAGTTGTGTTCAGGCTTCTTCGGAGAACAACCGTCAGCCAGGGTTTCTCTTGCCTTGCTAGTTCTGAGCTCCAAGACCCTGTTCCAACAGGGCATGTTCTGCTGTGTTCCATGGCCCCAAGGATGCTGCTATTCACTCGACCTCAGTGAAAATAACTTAGAGCGTTCAAAGTTGCTACAAACTTTAAGAGCACTGAGGTCAAAGGCACGAGATCTACACTAGGCTTAACCCTTTTTTCCCCTTTTTTTATTTTTAGAAAATGCATCTCCAGGTAAGGTTTGAAAAAAATCACAGGTCTAAATAGTGCCCTCTAACTCAAGCACAGGAACAGACAGATAATATAAATGAACAAGTCAAACAAGGCATGGGCCGTCAGGGAGTGGTGGGGTCTGAGGTGAACTGTCAGAATTTTAAAAATGTTAAAGCAGTCGCCCATGAGAATTGACCATGTGGAATGACCAAGTTAGTGTGTCCAAGTATTACATTTTTCCCAGCAAATATGGAATTGTATGCATCTATTTTGCAATTACTAGACATCTCCTATCTGAGAAGCAGAAGCAGCTTGTGTTACAGATAGCTATCTGCAACCCTTGCCTTAAGCTTTGCCTTGGAATACCAGACCATGAAGAGCTGCTTTCCCTAAACGCTTTCCAAGGTACAGTGCAGCCCCACAAGAAACCCTGAAGAAGCCCAAAAATGTTTGCTTTTCAGTCCCAATCCTGGGAGTCCAATGTATGGACCAGGACATACCCCAACTCCTAAGCAGGCACCTGCTCCAAGCTCCAGAGAATACACTCCAGGAGACCAGGTGAGTGGCAGGGAGGAGGGAGGACTCCACAGGTGGAAGTCCCTCCAGACACAAATGGCAATGGGGGTCACCGCAGGGAGTCATCCCCTTTGCTGGGGACAGCAGAGATATCCAGTGCTAGTGGCCCATGGAGTGTAGCTGCAGGTCTTTTAAGCAGCCCCAGGTCCATGGCTGGCCCAGAAAGCACAGACCCCCTCTACTAAGGGAGATGACAAATGATCGCCTCCCATCTTTGTTCATCAGTGAGCAGATGAGGAACGTGAACCCCATCAGAAAGAAGCGGGCACCCGGGCCCGCGGCTGTCGAGCACAATCATTAAAAAGATAGATGTTCCTAATGGCTCCAAGAAGGATCATGGAGCTACTCATTATGGGGGGTTGAGATCGCTAATTATTCCTTTCTCTGCAGCTGTCACTTGCTGCACCCACCAGAACCACCAAGCCCCAGAGGCTGTCCTTCTCTCATGACCAAAAGAGGACCACCAGCAGGCATGGTCAGTCTGGACCCTGAGGCTATGGGGCAAAATGTTCTTTCTGCATTAAACACTTATTAGAGTTGATTAGAGTTCAATGCACCATAAAATCTCTTTCAAGTCAGTGAAATGCTTTTTGGCTACAGACAAGCCCCCACACCACCCAGTTCTATCCGAAAGGAACTCTGTGGCAGTATTGGAAAAAATTAGAGGAAGGTTGAGGACAGTAGCCTTCAAGATTGGAATTGGGTAGGTAGATTTAGAGTGTTTGTGGGAAAAGGCAGCAGAGCTTGGAAGAAAATGTCTGGGACAAAGGAGGGTGGATTCTGGTGGGGTGGGAAGTCTGTCAAGAGTATTTTTAGGGATATTATTATCCTGGCCCTAAAAATATGAGCCATGGCTTGCTTTAAAAGCCATCTAGACCCTATTTACATTTCAGAGCAAACAGCATATTGTTTTCATCAGGGGGAAATAAGCACTCATGTTTACCTTATGTTTCCTTCAAAATATTTGCATTTCAAAGCCTTCCGAGCTTTAGGTTTCAGAGCTGTTGAAACACAGCACCTGGGCATTTCCCAGACAGGCTGTATTTACAGCAGAACTCCTTGCCACCCAACCAAGATGGCAGGATTCCCTCCTGCTCCCCCCGACAAAGGACAGCCCCCTGCAGGACTATGACACATCTCTTTGGGACCAAAGCTGGTGGCCAGATGAACGATAGGGGGTGGAGGACAGTCTGTGTGTTGAGTTCTGCACATGAGTTTTCCTGGTGGGTGTCATTTGACTTTCCTTGAGGAGGGAGTGGGTGTACCCTCTTCACATGGTCCTTGGGGACTGTCAGAAGAATCATCAGGCATCTTAGGAGTCTTGGGGGAGAAGTTCTAATGGAGGCAGCCACCTAAGGAAACAGAGTAGTGATCCCAGGACCAGAGGGGCTGTATCAAACAACCTTGGTTCTTTTTTTTTTTTTTTTTTTTGCCCCAAACACTCACTTTATTCACCAAACTATTGCAGAAGCTCCACCGAATGCAGAGCCTGGTGGACCAGGACCACCAAGAAAAACGCCAATTCCTCTCACACTTTGAGCCAGACACAGTTCTTGACTGAGCATCAGAACTGATGAGCAAAAATTTAGAAACATTGGAACCCAGGCCACACTCTGGACCGCATAGAAGTCTCTGTAGCCCAGGAAATTTGCAAAACTCCCCTGGAAACTCTCAAGTACAGACATATTTGAGAAGCAGGCACAAAGCACCTCAAATCTACAGCCTTGAGTCAGGTAAGAAAGCCCCTGACACACACCTGGGCAGCCCTTTCTCAGAAATGGGACACAAGGACCGTGACTCCACCCAGGCAGAGCCAGCAAGAGAGCTCTCAAGACTGCATTCTTAGAGGATCTGCTAAAGGATCACAATCACAGTGCTTGGGGACATCCTGCCCAGGAAAGGTGTCCGTGAACAGATGCCACCCAGCAAGGGAGCATCACCCTCGGCTTTGTCCATTCTAGATGTCAAGCAACCCAAGATGCCTTGACTCAGCCTCCATTGGGTTAAGATTCTGGTTGAGAAGATGCCCTAAGGATCAGACTGGAGCACCGGAGAAGGTTTGCCTGCAAGTGTGTGAAGAGTGAACCTCTGGCCCTCTCCAGCCATCTCAGCTACCACTAGAAGCGCTGACGTTTGGAACTGCTGACACCATCTTGTGACTGCAAGAAAAAGCCGGAGAGAATTATAGACACGGACAGAGACAGAGGCTCCCACCCTGGAGCACCCGCCCCCCCTGCCAGTGTCTGGTTAAAGGGGAGCACTGAGACTGGCAGGTATTCAGTCGCATGCACCTGCACCAATTAGAGTGAGCTACAAAATAACAGCACAAGTCAGACACTTATTTCTCTCTCATATAAAAGAAGTCTGAAGATAGGCAATCTGGCATGACTGAGGGCTGGGGAGGGAGCGGTGATCAAGCCATCGGGGAGCCAAGCACCCAGTCCTCTCCATGCTCTGTCTTTCTTAGCAAGTCCCTGCCACTCTTGCCTCAAAGAGGAAGGATACACAAGTTCCAGTATCAGTTTGCATTCCAGCTTGCAGGAAGGAGAAGTAGAAAGACTACGAATCCTTCCTTTTTGGGACACTTCCCAAGAGCCTTTCCATTTGTATGCCTTGGACTGGAACTCAGCATTTCAGCAATATGACTAACCCTGGATGGAGGGGAATTTGGGAGCCATGTTTGTTGTGGCAGCCGTGAGTCTAGCCAATACAAGAGACCCTGTAGAAAAGGAAGACATATGCTTGGAAGACAGACACAGTCTCTGCCACACCGGGGACCATCCTCATTCATGGAAGCAGTGGGTTGACACCTGGGCAGAAGGATGATGGAAAAGGAACAAGAAGCAGCCAGGCTCAGAGATGGAGGACACGCAGGATTTCCAGCTGTACAAAGGTCCAGAGGAAGAAAGAGAGACCCTTTGAGACCTGAAAGATGCCACATGACTAACTAGACACAGAGAGCACAGAGTTGAGAGGTGAATTAGGGCCAGTGTTTAGAGACCCAGCCATTCAGGGACTTTGTTACTACACTGAGGAACCTGGACTGTATTCTAAGCTAGGCCCTCATTTGACAGGAATGTGATGAGACTAGGCTCACAGGTTAGAAAACTCAATATCGTGTTGTGAGACAGAAGATGCATTAGGTTACTGGAAGCAGGGAGAACCCACATGCAGAAACAGAAAGGATACTGACTTGAGGCTCTGTGCAGGTCCGTGTTTCACCTGGAGGTAGATGGGGGATGCTGGAGTGGTGTAAGTCTGAGTGAAGACTTGTCTGCAGGGAGTGTGAAGGCTTGGCCAGAATCTAAAGCAACCAGCTCCTTTCTTTATCAGGAAAGCTTTATGGCCACCACTGGTTTTATCAAATCTGAATCACTTGTGCCTAGCGTTGGATCTAATTTGTACTTGAGTAACCACTTACTCCTTCTCATTGGAGACCAGCACAACCTCAGACCAAAATTTGTTGCAACCCCTCTCTCAGGAATGAGTTCTTTCTTTTGAACCGTCTTCATTGACCAGGGCAGAGGCCATTTGACTCACTCTGACACTGGCCTCACTAATGGCTCAGGATCTGTTAGCAGTCCGTTGCACCCCTGCAGAGGTTACCTGTGAGTCTGCAGTTCTTTACAAACTGATTTGAGCTTGTCCTGAATTACTTGCAGAGGCACACTTGGGCCAGGTATCTCAGAGTCCCTTGTCATATCTGTCCTAGAGCATGGTCAGTGAGTCCCTAGGGACCCGTGTGAGTGCCAAGCACATATCCCTCAACTCAGCACACATTCAACACAATCAGTTTGATGGCCCCATGTAATGTCCATTCATCGATTCACCAGGATGCATTAAGGCTTGATGTTTTTGCCCTGGTCTCTTATCAACATGGTCATTGCAACCCTTCAACATGGGCCAGTGCATATAAGTTGACCTCAAGGGCGAGAGGCTGCTTAGTGATTTGCATTCCCCAAGTCAGGACTCATCCCTGGATCAGCACAGACTTCGTTGGGAGTAGCATGGTGACTTGTGTACAATCTGATGCCTGGAAGAGAGGAGATTCCTAGTCTTCCACACAGGACCCCAAGGTGGACGGGATCTGGGGATGCTATGAGAGTCACTCTTCTCTGAGCATTCAGCTCGCCTGCCCTCTGGGAAGGTGAGAGAACCAATATCAAGGGGTGAACTTGTGGATCCTAGGTCACCAGGCTGTTGGGCCAAGGCCAGTGTCATCCTGATGTACTTCCCATCTTCTGACAGGGAAGAGAGAGCCAGTGTGGGTCTGATAAACACACGGATACAGTAAGGACATCAGCCACACAGGGGACAGAAGGCCCTCTACAGCTGACACTGGAGTGAGACCAGATCATAAAAAAAAAAATCCATCTTCTAAACACCACCTGGAGAAATCAGGTCAAGTCACAGTATAGGAGCTGCTGAAAAACCACAAGAAGCACAGGCCGTACCCTCAGCTGGCTGAACTCTGGCCACTGTGTGAAACCTAGCCTCCCAGTCCCTTTGCTCTCTCTAGGGGGCAACTCTGGGAGCTGGGCCTGATGAGTGGAACCCTAACCCTCCACCACCTTGCCTGCAGTTTCAGGTTTTACTTAAAGGGCATTAGGGGCTCTCGAAGGGTGGCAGATGGTGGCAGGCCAGACAGGCAGGAGAGAGGCAGTGAATGAAATTCTTTGTTTAAGGAAGGCGCAAGCTGCGTGTCGGCAAGCCCAAGAGAAGCATGTCATTTTGCTGGAAATGCGATTTTCCCTAACAAGTACAGAATCCTACATGACATGTTGAAAAGTGTATCTTTTTGAGAAGCCGCTCTGTATCTCAGAGGCATCATCAGTACAGCACCCGTGTAATGTGGCAGTTGCCATGGCAACACCTCGTTTTCCACAGACAGGAAAATCAGAGTGGCTAAGTCGATTGAGAGGACCCAAATAACATCTCGAAGGCAGGCTGAGATGCTGCATCGGCTTTGCATTCCCAGCGCCTGGGGTGCCGTTGTGGGGCAAGTAGCGTATTATATGTACTTCACAGAAAATCCCCAAGGTAATATTCAGAGCTTTCTCATTGGTCAGAGGCTGGGAGATAATGGGATTTGCCCAAAGCCACCCAGAAATGCAGTAACAGGGCCAGTGTGGCCAGACTCCCATCTCCTCGGGCAGATAGTGCTCTTGGGCAGGGGTGCCCATCATTCTCCTCCCTCCAGTGTCTTCAGCCTTCACTGTTTCTATTATGTTTTTTCTACTTACCCTGAAGACAGAGCCCTCAGCACCAGGCAAGAGCAGCCAAGTTAAATCAAAACATGTCCCATGCCCCAGTATCTCTCCTCGGACACGGACTGCCCTCCATATGTGCCTGTTGACAACACACTTGCTTCCAATGTGCAATCCCTAGCCCAGAGAATGAGCCTTCCCAGAGAAGGAACTCCACCCATGGGAGTAGCACCAAATTGGTACATTCCTCTGACGGCCTTCCAAATATAGGAGCCATGCATGTCCTTGTAGCCCTAGGGCCTGGTATAGTCTCTATACCAGATGAGACACTGAATTCAGCACACGCCCACATGGACGTGCATACAGGTATACACATTGGCTATAGCCTCCGCTCTGTGCACAGCCCGCCTTTATGTGGCATCTTCACGTAGACACTCTCACTCCCTTGGCCCCGGGTGGTGTGGTCTAGGAGGGCTGGGGGCAGGACGCTCTAAGGCAAGCAGCTTGTTTGGTTCACCATGGAGTCTTAAGTTAACTCAGTTGACCCCAGAGTCCTCTGGTCTCCCTTCCTCGAACCCGTATTGTTCAGGGCACCCCACAGGGCTTTTGGTTGTAAACCTCACCCTCCCTCCCGAGAGGGAGGATGCTGGCAGCAAATTCAGGGCAGGAACAAGAAAAGTATGCAGGCTGTTCTTTAGTCTCCAAATAGAAGTTTGAAGTAAGGGGTGGGGGATTTACAATGGTGGGGGGAGGCACCTGTCCCCCTCAACTTCCCAGAGGAAAAATTTCATATAACTGTCAGACATGTAATAGAACTGTCAGAAGTACAGGAAACCAGCTACACAGATTACAAAAACATATGTCAGGGACCTATTGGTTTCGTGACAGTGTGAAAAATCACAATTTTTCCATCAAGATAGAAAATAGAAACAGAGGAAAGCCAGGAGCACTTTGGCATCTGTCCTCTGACAGCTGCAAGCCTAACCCACGGAGCTGGGGGTGTGTCCCGAAAGCAGGTCCAAGGGGTGCGAGACCAGCCCCCCATGGTAGTGCTGAGCCATCCTGGCCTTCACTTCCTAACCGGGGAAGAAGCCCCCAGTCTTGTTTCAGACCTTGCACACTAGAAGGTGGAAGTGTTAAGTGTCAGGATTCTCTCTTTCGCTCTCAACTCTGGCAAGTCATTCTCCGATGCTAGACCTTCAAGCTTATGAGAATGCCCAGTGAGGATGAGGTCATGTGGTAGAGAAGGGTTACCAATAGCATCAGGCTGCCTTCCCTTCCTTTGAGATCACAAGAGAGTTGGAGTGGGCCCTCCCTGCGGAGTAAGTGAGGCAGGTCAACCAGGGACTACAGTGCTTATGAAGGCTCTCTGCTGTGTTTCCCTGCTCTTCCGGCATCTGCAATGGATCCCTTGCAGCTCTCACTAACATTGTGTGTGTGTGTGTGTGTGTGTGTGTGTGTGTGTGTGTGTGTGTGTGTGTGTGTGTGTGTGTGTGTCTCCAGTGTCTGGGGGTGTTCACAGAAGCCAGAAGAGGGCATTAGATCCCCTGGAACTGGAGTTACGGGCAGTTAGGAAGTGCCTGATGTGGACACTGGGAACCAATCTCAGGTCCTCTGGGGAAGCAGTAAGGGCTCTTAACTTCTGAGCCGTCTCTCTAGGACCCTACAGTCCCCATTTCTCTAACA